TAATGAAGAGAGCAGTATCACAGCAGGGCAGCTGGCTCCTTCGTCTCTTTGAATTAAAAAGTTATATGGAACTTTCCTGAGGCTCCACATTTGTCTTCCAAATTGTCACAAAAAAGCTTTAAATCTGCTTTGACAAGCCAAGGCACTATCCATTAAGCATGAGGGATTTTCTTGTTGCTTAGGAGACACAGAAATAAGAAACCATCATGGAGATATTTTCTGAAAAGAAAGTGACTGTGATGCTTTCTCCAGACAAGAGACCTTGTTAAGTGTCAGCTAGAGAAGTAGCTTAGAGGCACCATGGTGGGTGCAAGTGCTGAGGCTCTTCTCAAACCAGTACAGGAACAGTTCAGGCCCCTCAGGCTTACATCTCTTGGACCTAAGGCAGGCACAGGCTCTCCATTCATGATCCAGAAGCCAATTATGTGAATAATAGTGCAGTCTGGGAAGGAAAACAAGGCTCCCTGGGCCAAAAGACTGTCAAATTGCTCAGACATTCACTGGGTAACAGCATCATATAGCTTTGATGGTGAGGAAGGAATTGAAGGATGAGCAGAAAGCTTTGCTGCAGGAGGCTGTATTTGAGAACTGCAGTTATTACTGGTTTTCTAGTCTGCTTTGTCTACTGTCATTGCATGGTTTCCTCACTGCTCTCAGTAATTATACTAATAGTATTGATTTAATCCTTTCAGTCTTCAAAGAGCTATTTGAATAGTAATGAGATAATCCTTCTGACCCCTGGAGAGAAAGATAAACATTATAAAAAATAAACAGTCCTCTCCAGGAAAGAGAGATTTAGTAGCAGCACTGAGGGGAAGGGAAGGTTCATGCCTGAAATTGAGGCATGTCAGTAGCCCACGTTCTGTTTGGAAGAATAGCTGTTGAGAAGGGAGGAGGAGTGGCATGAAGAAGAGGAGGATGTTGAAGCAGCAGGTCAGGTAGAGGCCAAGATTCAGTGCTATGGTCACAGCCCCAGGCAGCAGTTCATGTAGAGGCTGTGCCACTGGACAGCTCAGAGGATTTTCAGGATTTTCTTACTCTTGCCTTCATGTCTACTTTCATCCTCTTATTTTAGTACCTCTTAGTTTTGTCTTGCCTGAAAGTAGATCATGTATTTGCTGCTGAGACTTGTATGGTTTTATGGGTTCTGGCACTGATCCTGATGAAAATTTGAGATCCAGTTGTGGTGTTGGTGTTTCATAGACAAGTTTTCTCCCTGCGATGCTACTGCCATCTCTGGCTTCCTAACTGGATGCCAGCCTGGGTTATTACAAGCTGTTTTGTTGTATCAGCACAGTTCCATTCTCCCAGTTCTTCCCATCCTGGGTGATTTTGCTCAAGGTTGAAAAGATAAAGCGTCAGAAGTAGGGTAGAGAAATATTGGATGCTTATGCTCTCACTTAAAGCTCAAATCCCTAGTGAGTGAAGCTATTTGTCAGTAACTTCTTGTTCTATAACCGCGTTATGTTGTGACACAATTATCTCAGCATCAGGTCAGGTCTTTATTTGTTTTACACTGACACTTCTTCAGTGTCTCTAGTCATGCAATGTCAGCTAACACCAGAGGAGGTATGATCAAGGGTATTTACACAGTTGAGTATAAGTGTATTTTCTGCATGAGGAAAGTAAAAGTTACATACATGTGTGATTATTTACAGGGCACTGAAGGGAATATCACATGAATTCCCTATACGAAGACACACACTATGTAAAGCATGAACTCAAGTCTGTTTTGCCCCGGGTATACAGTCTTATAGACCTCTGTGCTATTGTCGTGGTTTGAGCTCAGAAGGCAACTGAGCACCATGCAGCAGTTCACTCACCCCTTCCCCCTCAGAAATGGTAAGGAAAACATGAAGCGAAAGGCTGAGGAATTGAGACCAGGACAGGGAGGGATGACTCACCCATTATAGTCACAGGGAAGGGACAGACTCATTAGAGGAAGAAAAAAGCATATAAATTTAATTCAGGCACTAACAACAGCAACTTTTAATAGACAGAGTAGGACTGTGAGAAGCATTACATCTTAAAAACACCTTCCCCCCGCCCCCCACCTCCCTTCTTCCCAGGCTTAGCTTTGCTCCTGATTTCCCTACGTCCTTCCCCCAGCAGTGCAGGGGTCAGGGGATGGGGGTGTGTGGTCAGTCCTGCTGCTCTTCCTCCTCAGAGGGAGGACTCCTCACATTCTTCCCCTGCTCCAGTGTGGGCTCCCTCTCATGAGAGAAAAACCTCCACAGACTTTCTGTAACTTGAGTCCTTCCCACAGGCTGCTCAGGCGTGGGTCACCCCCGTGTGTTCCAGTCCTCCCAGTGCTGAACTACAACAGCGGAGGCCTCTTCCCTCAGAGTCCTGGTCCTCTCCAGGCACAGCTCCTGCTCTGTGTGGGGTCCTCCATGGGCTGCAGGTGGCATCTGCTCCTCCGGTGACTTCCATTGCCTGCAGCGGGGTCTCTGCTCCAGTACATCTCCTCCTCCTTCCTTTCATTATCCCCAGAGTTCACACAGATGTTCTCCTTGCACCTCCTCTTCACAACTCCACTCCTTCTCCTCTCCTGAAATATGTTATCTGAGAGGCACAGCCACCATCGCTAGTTGGGTCGGCCTTGGCCAGAGGTGGGTCTGACTTGGAGCCAGGAGGAGCTCTGAGAGCTTCTCACAGGGGCCACCGCTGTAGCCCCCATCCCCTGCTACCAAACCTCCACCACACACAAACCCAACACAGTGACAGAAAGCTCTTATCATTCCTGGTGTACAGTTGGAGGATCTCAGCTCTCTAGTGATTCATTTGATACATCTTATGTATAGAGGAATAGGGGTATTGATCTAGGCCGTTAAAACATATTATACACAGTAACTGCATACAAGGACAACATAATAAATTGTAAAATGTATTCCAGTTCATAAAATTCACCAGTCTATTGCTCTGCCCAGTGTGACTATTAATGTTGCAGTCACTCCTGCGAAAAGCTGAGGAGCTGTGTATGACCAGTAATGCATATAGAACACAAAGTGTGTCTTCTCAGTAGATCCTCACAGCAAATTCAGCGAGGAACAAAATTTCCCCAATTCCCTTCCCTTCCTTTCTTCACTTTCCACCATTAGACTCTATCCTGAATGTGGTATGCTTTGAGTAATGACATTTCAGTCATTGATTATTATAACAATATCATCCGGCCGATAGGATTTCATGGTGTATATATCTGCAGCATGAGAGTGTAATTATCTGCTGGCTTTCCAGAAATCACTGGCAATATGACTAATGTTAAAAGCTTTTTTTATATCTTTCTTTCTCCTTCTCGTTTTAATATAAACCCTCTGTGGCATGTGAATCTCTGGTAATGACTCACTGGGCAATGAGGCAGCAATCTCAGACACGGTAACATGATGTAGACAAGGTCATACACTTGCTCTCATAACAGGATTATTCATTCATTCATTAAAAATTAAACACGTGCAGGACCATGTGATGCATTCGAGTTGGCGTGTATTGGTCAATACTTTCTTGTAGTTTCTTAAGTCCTGATCAGTTTGTGTGAGATTAAGTTACTCCAGTTTTCACCAGAAGTAATTACATTTTCACCTGAGGATTGTTAATTGTTCCTATTGAAGACAAGTGCTGTAAGGAGGCACTTCAGAATCACAGCTATATCTTAATAGAGTGATGGTTCCATTTTGGGAGGTTTTGAGTCTTTGTAATGAGCTTATATTTAAAAGAGAAACATGAAGTTCTATACTATTTATCTCTTTTTACCTAAAATTTGCTGGGGTTTTAATTGGATTGTTAAAAGTTTTGGGGTTCTTTTTGAAGTGGAGTCATGCAGAAAAATCAACATGCTCCAAGTCTTGTGACCTAGGTACCTATTTCAACCTGATAGCGTTACTGTGGGTTTTTTTTAATTGATGTTGCACGGTAGAATGCAGCTAGGAAAGAGTTGGTTAGTCAGAGCTGAGTGTGATGCTATGGAATTAAGTTAAAACAGCTGTAATAGGGCACATAGGGAGGCCTACTGCGTACAGTGTATGAGTCCCTTGGCCAGGATCAGATGCCTGTGAAAGAATCTAAAGATATAGTGAGCATATAGGGTTGTCTTGAGTCAGAGGTGGTATTTTTGAGGTTAATAACCTTCACCAGATTCCTTCTTATGTGAACTTGCCTAATCATACTAGGGCTTATATTGACTTCTGATATACACAGCAACGTGAGGCAGGGAGTTTCACAGTCTGACAAAACAGTGTATGAAGAATTGTCTGCTATTGCTGATACTGAACCTGTTGTCTGTTAACTTAATTGGATGGCACATACTTCTTTTATTAAAAAAAAAAAAAAAAAAAAGAAGAAGAAAGTTATTTCCTTTTCACTCTTCAGTATACCACTCATTTTATGCATCTCCAGCATATCTCCATCCAGACAGCTCCTTTCTAGGCAAAAAAAATTTCTCAGTTTGCAGTTGTTTCATGTAAGGAATCTGCATGTGTTTTGGACGCTTCTTACTAGCCCTTTGTGTAACTTTTCTAGTTGTAAGATGTTAAGCTGAGAACCAGAACTACATGTAATACTCATAAAGTGATTGTGCCATGAATTTAGAAAGTGGTGTAATTTATCTTTCAATTTCTATAACTTTCCTAACATTTGTCAATTTAGGACATGTTTTTTTCCTCCCCATAATAGTTGTCTCCCATTCCCACGTTGTTTAGGATGTTATTGACCTGATGGTTTTTTTGCTGATGTAGGAGTATACAAGTGACATGATATACTTTGAGTTAATGGCATCAGTTACTTTAAAATTTTACGGCTGTAACCAAGTCATATTTGAGTTCATAACCTTGATGAGCACCAGAAAGAATTTAGAGCCTATTTACAGTTCAATGTTCTTACTGATTTCTGTTGTTCACTAGCTGGGTAGCAACTCAGGTTGGTTTTATAATCCAAATGTAGATAGAGCAGCATTGTATTTATACACCAGCAGACATACAAGATTCCTATGTTTTCTTTAATTGCAGGTATTTATGAGCCGCCATTTATTTTATTATTGTGGTGAACCTACTCTGGATGTGAAGATTGCCTTTTGTCAGGTGTGTGTTCCTTACAGGTAAAACAAGGTACAGTATATACTTGAACTTCATTTTTGTAGTTGGTGCCATAATTAAAGAAAAATAGAAGTGAATTAGAGCAGCTTACTGCAAGCAGCTGCTTATCAGAATTAGAGTAAATATAAAAAATAGAATGCAGCATAAAAATTACTTTTCTGTTTATTTTGAAGTTTATTTTGTAGTTTGCTCATAATTATTTTTAATTTTGTTTTGCTAAAATGTCAGTTAATGTTCTGAGACTCTTTTTTAGATACAAATAATAGCAGAGTTTGCAAACAGAAAAAATGTTGGCTGTACTTCCCATAAACTTAATGATGAGTAACATAACTGTACGTACACAGATGCTTTCACAGAAATATGTAAATTAAAACTATATTATCTTAGCCTCTGGGCCTTAGCCTCTGAGACAGAGCCTTTCACATTGTAGCCTGTGACTACAATTTTCTGTCCGTTAGTCCTTTAGTAGAAGTGCAGTGAGGGTAATTAAAATTGTGGGGTTTCTCTTGTCTCCAGTTGAACATCATGTGCTATGCAGGTTCTGGAGTCACAATACTGCACCACAGCCAATTCTGTATTTCTGAACTACCCCTGAAATTTTTTTGTCACAATTCTTAGAAGTCTACAAGGCTGAAATTACCTTTGTGATACAAAGAGAAAAGTGTATTGATTTGTCCAGTATTTGTTTCCTTGATTAGTTAGTTAGTTAACACATATATATATATATATATATATATATGTACGTCACAAATCTGTGTGCATGCTTTTCCGTCATGAATGAAAGATGACATTTTTATTCACTTCCCAATAGTGGTTTTTGTGCAAATTTTGTCTCTTCATAGCTTTTTTGGTCAGACAGGACACCAGTAATCTAACTAGCTGGAGGGTCATTAGAGACATTCTCCATTTTTTTTTGAAGGGTGAGAACAATGCTGCACTCTTAGAAAGGGAATTCTGGTAAACACTGTTTTTTTCCCTTTATATGACTTATAGGGTCCAAGTAAGTGAAAGTATAATTCTAAAAAAGAAAAGGCTATTGCTTGTGTGTAAGCATTTAACACAGAACTGACAGTTGTTGGACCGTTTCTTTTGTGTTTTTTTAAACTCGGGAGTGCTAAATATTTGTTCTGCTGAGAAGATTGGCTCAGCACTTCAGGTCTAGGGTGGATCTTGGCTATTCATTTTGATAATCTGTATAATTGTCTTCTCTGTTCTTTTTATCTCCCGCTCTTCATGTGCATATGTTTATTTAACTGTCTTAATTCTTCCACAGTTTTTGAGAGAAGAAAGCATTTGTAGAATGTAGTCTTTTTGTAATTTTTTGACAGAGTTCACTCGCAAAAAAAATTTCAAAAACTTCTGCAAACAATGCAAAAACCTTTTTTTCCTCAGATTGGACGAAAAAGACATTATTGATGAAAAAGTTACTTTCACTGTACAGAATACAGTGTTTTGCACAGCTCTACTTGATGACTTTCTTGTCCCTTTTACTTAGACCAAATCAGAGCTGTGCAGAAGCATTTCTATTTGACACATGCAAAGGAAAGGTATTCTTAATCACTTTTTTGTGTGTTCAGTGCTCTTTTAGCCTTGGCATCAATCAGTGCATCAGCTTGTATAGCCAACACTTTCTGTCACTGTGCTCCAGGTTCTTGATTTAGTGGAAACATGCTACTAGAATTATCCTTTGCTCTTACCCTGACTTAATAAAAGGTGTTCAGAGGCACATGCAGAACCAAACATATTTACATTGGTTTTGTTGAAGTATATATGATTAAATCAACAGCATTTTGGATGAATTTTTATCACTGAATGAAACTGTTTTGTGTTTAAAACCTACAGCAGATACCCAAAGAGGAGTCATTCAATAAATATATAAAAGAGTTACTATCCTGACATTGCAGGAAACAGAACTCTATCCTTCAAGCACTTATCACACAAAACCTTTTCAAGGTCTTCAGATTCTCAGATTTATTCTCCTGAAGATAAAAGCTGGTTCAGCCTTCATGTTGATTTATTCTCTCCATAAAGATAGGCCCTGATCCAAATAACAGTTAAGCACATAGTTAGCATTAAGTACAAAAGCAGGCTCTAAAGTAAGTCTTTTGTGTCAATTAAGACCTTGGCTGTCATGGATGCTCTTAATTTGTATATGGGGCGGGATGCGGGTTATATCTGTATCCTGCTTATACTTGGTCCAAACATCCAGATCTTTATTTAGAGACTTTTCAACAGTCCCCAGGGAGTAATACTGTTTATTCCCTGCTTATTCATAATGCCAGAGTGGAAATCAAATGCCCTGTTATTTACTAGTAATTCTGTGCTAAGTGTAAAGTTCATTTGTATCTTTCGGGAAATTCTACCTGCTGAATCAGTAAATACAAGATGTTCAGAAACAACTGTTAACAAAAGACAATGTGACAGCAGAATGGTTTTTATCAGTGAGAGGTAGATACAGCCGCTCAGATCTTGAGGTGTCTACAAGTAACAAGGATTCCAGCAGACATGACACCACAAAAATGTAATTTCCAGTGAACATAAATCAACTCAATAATTTTTTCATGTAGTTCAACACGACATGCAACCGATATCAGAAGAAGTCAACGTGACATAGTTTAATCCTGCCCTGTTGACCCGTTGAGAGCCTCTAGTGATGGTGTACTAAAATAGAGAATTTTTCCAATGGACTATTGCAATTTTGTGATTTGTGTTTGCCACATAGAAGTCCTGCTCCCATTTGGAACTTCTACATCATTGCAGACTTTCTACAAAAAAATATAGAGTCGTGCTGAAGTGTCTTTTATAAAGGTACAATATTGAAGAGTACTCCAATGATTGTTAGTACTGTGGACATATTTTTCCTGTAATAAATATTTTGTGGCCATTTCTCTCTCATGGCCTAAAAGGCATAGCTTTATGTGCTAGGAAAAAAAGGGACATATACCTAATGTTCCTCTTGACACAATTGAGTATACTAATTTTATATGATGAAAAGCTAATTCAGCAGAAATAGAATCTTAAGGATTTCCAATTAATGGAAAAAAGAAAAACCCTTCCTGAGAAATACTCAGTAACATAAGTGGGGTAAGTATGCATTTTCCCTCCCCCAACCCTGGCTGCAGTATAAAAATACCTGTCTGGCATTACTGTACGTTGCTAGCCAAATCATGATGTGAAATGGCCATCTTTGTTAAAGGATGGGGGAAAGGACATCTGCTTTTCTATCATAACAGGAGGGTAGGACAAGAAGATTTCTTTTTTAGGCTTGTGGAATTTAATCAGACTTTTGTAAGGCTGATATCACCAAGTTTTGTCTGTGGGACTCTACACATTCTTACTGAAGTACAATATAATGCGGAGTAGTATAGGACTTTAAAGTTTCAGTGTTGAATAATACCTAACAACGTCTAAAGGATACTGACTGCTTCATCCATGTTTTCCTTCATTCAGTATTTCAATAATTTTTTTAAATCAACATTGAGGCGTGTACAGCCTGTCATAATTCGTAAGTTTTCTAAACCATAGCTGAATAGAATTAGAATACCTTTATTTAGAATACAATAAAATGACTTTTTTTTTTACTTGGAGCAGTAGTCCTGAATTTTCTTGTCTTTGAAAAACACATCTTTGTTAATAGAATTTGTATGTCACAGCATTTCCATAGCTCTGTGATCAAAAAAAGAGCAATTTTTTGAACAGAAAAGACAGACGTGGGATTACTGATATGAAATACTGGGGACCTGGCCATGCACATTAAGGAAACATTTAATGTGAATCAGGAACATAAATTTGCATGCTAATTCTTTGGTACAACATCATCACTAGTCTTTATGACCCAGTTTAAACAACTTCATGTCCTAGAAAGAGTATGTCAGTGGTTTTGCATGCTGTCATTGGAACTGGTGCTGTACTGAAGCCACCAAAAGAAAACTTTAGAATGAAATTTGAGTTTGTATTTCAAGGGTATTTTTGCAAACTTCTACTCATTTTGTGCTTTAAAAAAACCAACCAAACAAACAAAAAGATTTTAAAACCTTTAATTTCTCTCTAGACATATTTTTTTTTTCACTGTATTTGGCTAACTTGCTTTATTTCCAGTCACGCTTACCTGTCTTGAACAAAATGTGTATAGATTTCCTAGATGCAATATTGCATCAGTGACCGTTTAAAAATCCCATGATTTTTGAAATATTTTCATTTTATATGCAGAAAAGATCAGCCTAAATGCATTGTTCTCCATTGATTGGTTGATTTATCTGGCCTGGGTTTTAATTTTATCCTAACTTAGACAAACCACTTTAATTACAACTAATGCTTTGATCAGATTGGATGGAGTTACTACTTTGACCAAGCTGTCTTGTTGCAGAATGTCCTATAATTATGCCTTCTATCCAATGGGAGATTAATTAGTATTCATAAGACATCGACGAGCAGTGACCTGTATCTTACATTTCTAGGACTGAACTGATACTTCACAGTATCAAGAGCTGTCTATTTCTAACAAAAGGTGTGATTAAGTTACTCAGCTCCTTGTAGTCTACTTATAAAAGGGGAAATCTTGTCATTAGTTATCGTCTTCAGAGTGAATGCTGTAATTATATAATTATACTGAGAAATTAAATTTTTTAATACTTCATCTGTACTGTTGTTACATGTTGCTTCTTTATCCTTCTTTTTTAAAGGAAGCCATGATGTGCATTGGGGCATAGCATTTTGCATAGTCAGTCTTCTTGCTACCCTGCTTGCATACCAGAAGAAAGCTTCTTAAACAATACCCAGAATTTCAGTGTAATTCCAGTTTCCTGATAAGTATAAACCATTTGAAATACACTGTATTATCAATATATACAATAAATAAAGAGGAACTGTTAATTCCATCTTGGGTCTTCTATGCTCTTAACACGCTATACTTCTATGCTCCTTTCATCACTGTTGAAAAATTGAGTGTGCTTCTCATTTCTTAGTGTTGTGATGTTTTGCGCAAC